GAAAAAATGGAGCAGTGCTGGTGGCTGGCTACGGCAGGCGCAGAGAGAGATCCTGATACGAACACACGAAGTGATGGTCAACCTGAGGTCCATGATGCGAGAGGTTACACGCAGGGAGACACATTGCGGAAGATGCATGCCGGATCCAAAAATCTACCGAAAAACCACAACATGAAAAAAAATGAAAAAAAATGAAAAAAAATGAAAAAAAAAGGAAAAAAATTGGGAAAGAAGGGGAAGGAGGAGGGGAAGGGGAGGTGGAGGAACCTAAAAAAACCCCCCTAAGTCCCAGATGAATTTTTCTCTTTTCTGTTCAATGCTGAAACTTTTTTATGTTTTTTAGTGTTCCCTCACACCAATTCCCAAAGCCAACACTCGAATGAAATGAGGTCAACGTTGAAATTTTCACAACGAGAAAAAATTACTGGGACTTAGTTAAAATTTTTAACTTGTCCCAATAAAATTTTCTCGTTGTGAAATATTCAATGTGAGCCTCATTCATTCGAATGTTGGCTTTGGGATAATACAGCATGCATAAATAACTCGTCTGTCTTAATTGAAAAGGTTTCAGAAAATTTGGACTTAGAAAAAAAATTATCTGAAAGGACTTAAAAAAAAAAAATTATTCGAAAGAATTATGATCAAAAAATTTGGACTTATAAAAAAAAAAAATTATTCGAGAGAATTATTTAATTAATCGATGAAATGAAATCATATTAACCGAATTAAAATCGTTTATACGACTTGATAAAACATGTGAAACCTTTACAATTAATCGAGACAAAAAAACAAATATAGCTGACTTGAATAATATACAAATTATTGGAAAAAGCCAAAAAAGAAATTTGATAAAACTTGTAAAATGAAATAATAAAAAATATTCAAATGTAAACATTAACTACTTCAAAACTGTTTAAATCTGATTGTTATCCTATAGAAATTGAGTTAAATAATTTTTACAACTTGATTCGAATAATAATCTTGTAAACAAAATTATGTTTTGTCTAATCATTCAAGTCAACTCTTTGAAACTTTGATTGCTAACACTCGAATGAAATGAGGTCCACGTTGAAATTTTCACAAAAAAAATTACTGGGACTTGCCCCAATAAAATTTCTCGTTATGAAATATTCAATGTGGTTCTCATTCATTCGAGTGTTGGCTTTGGGTTGACATAGCATGCAAAATTAACTCGTCTGTCTTAATCGAAAAGGTTTCAAAAAATTTGGACTTAGAAAAAAAATGATCTGAAAGGACTTAAAAAAAAATTATTCGAAAGAATTATTTAATTAATCGATGAAATGAAGTGATATTAATCAAATCAAAATTGTTTATTGACTTGATAAAACATGTGAAACTTTCAATTAATCACAAACGTAGTAACAAATGTAGTTGACTTGAATAATATACAAATTATTGGAAAAAGCTATAAAGAACAAATGTAGTTGACTTGAATAATATACAAATTATTGGAAAAAGCTATAAAAAAAATTCAATAAAAGATGTGAAATGAAATAATAAAAAAATATTCAAATGTGAACATTAAAAACTTCAAGACTGTTTAAATCTGATTATTATCCTTTAGAAATTGAGTTAAATAATTTTTACAACTTGAATCGAATAATAATTGTTATCCTTTAGAAATTGAGTTTAAATAATTTTTACAACTTGAATCGAATAATAAACTTGTTAACAAAATTATGTTTTGTCTAATCATTCAAGTCAACTCTTTGAAACTTTGATTGCATGTCTTGATCAAAATTGTTTTTATCAATTAAAGAATAAAAATCTATCATTTAGCTATGCAGCAATATAATTGAATAAATTTAAAATTAAACTACAGTAAAAGACTTTTAAAAGCTGCATTTTAATTAACAATTTGTTATGTCGTATTTGAGTATTTGAATAATTTGATCAAAACCAACAATCGTGTTATCCATAAATAAGAATGTTCATGCAGACAATGTCGCTACAGGAAAAACACATGATTCTTGATACTGGAAATGTCAAATACAAATACAAATATTTTTTCTGTATAATAATGAACAAATTGTGTGATAAAAAAGAGATTTTTGTAACAAAGTAAATTTGTAATTTGCAACAAAATACCATCAATTTAGGAGTTACCTAAGGAAGGGTGCTAGGACCCCTCCAACAAATAAGTAATCGATGCTTATAAAAGCTGTATTAATTAACTAATAATTGGTAACAAAAATTTATTATATATATAAAAAATTCTGGATTCCATACAAAATCAATTCATAGTGTTATTTATAGAGCAAGAGAATCTCTGGGGGAATATTATTATGGAATTGTAATAATATAAATTACTTTCAGCGTCTTGATACATAAGAGAAATAGAAACTTGTTTTTTTTTATATATATTTAAAACAAGTATAAAATGCACTTGAATAAATAAATAAAAAATCTGAATCAACATGTTTTCCCCATAACAAATTAAATAAGAACCTAGTTTTTCATACATATGTCTGCCAAATAAATTTAAAATCTTTTATTTGCAAAATAGTTGTAGTTGAATTAACAAAAGATAAATTGTATTTAATGCATTAAAGATTAATAAAGTATACCTTATTAAGAAAATGATATTGACTCAAATATTATAATATAAACAATATTTTCAGCAGATATATGTATATAACTATATTAATAATGCACAAGCCAAAAAATATTCCACTAAATATATATACAAGCTGCTTTATAAATGATATCGTATAACAAAGAAACAAGTTCTCAAAGCACCTTTCAATTAATTTCATTTAATATGAAAAACTAGCATAAATATTATTATTGAGAAATATTATTATGACAAGCATAAAAGTAGCATGTAAACAAAATCGGTCAGTAGTACTAAACCCTTTTCAGGAAATAAATAATATAAGTATATTTTTTTTTTCATTAGTATTCAAATTATAGTTTCACTGAAGATGACAAACAATATTGTGTCGAACATCAAGATTTTCATAATTATTTGATTCTTGTTTGAATTCAAAATTAAGCTAAATATTAAATAAATAAATAGTACGTTAAATGCCTGTATATAATATCAGAAATATTTCTTTGCCTCGCTTTTGTATAAAACATGCTCTGCACTTACATTGTTATAAATCCTCTACAGCAGCTAGCAGAACACAAAACTGATACATCTGCCAGAAATCTCAAGTACTCGACACAAAATCACTACTTTAAAACCACTACATAACTTTGTCTTTTACAAGTCTATTTGACATTTTACAATTGTCCGAGTAAATTCTCTACGAAACACACAAGACACGACTTACATTAGAGACTTTTGTGAACTTAAAATTGAATAAATAGATATGTGGAAATGTGCTACCATAACCTACAAAAGTATACACATATATAAATTATACAATTGCTAATTGCATATACATAGATAAAGGATACATCAGCACTGAAAGTAAAAGGTTTAATTATAATATTGATTCGAAATGGGGGTCCTGAAAGAGATAACTATTACTATTCAAGGAACACCTATGCATTTCCACACATATCCATTTTTTTAACTTTTTACAAATGTTGCACGATATATTTTTTATGTCAGATTGATCTACAGATTTAATTAAACGATTTTATGCATAATTTAATTAAAACTAATCAAGGATTTAATTAAAAACTCTTAATTAACGCGAGATTAAGATCATTCACAAAAATCTCTTGACATTTGAAGCAATTGAAGTTAGCAAATTGACCGCTGCCCCAATCTTGTACAATTTAAAGCGCGAAATTCAAACAGAAAATTTAATCTGCAAAAATTATGAAGTATTGTTATATAAAGTTATATTGTTCAGAATGAATAAATTAGCTTGAAAATATAATTTTTTCCAGTTAAAATTGTTTATGAAATTATTCTAGCTCATTAATAAATATTTGATTTCAATTTCATACTTAAAACGAGCTGAAAATATAAATTATATACCATAAGCTTTTATAATACAATAATAATTTATGCAGTTATCGAAGACTCAAATACAATTTTAATTGCCAGAACATAATTATTACTAATTAAATTAATAAACATTAACTTGATTACTATCAATTACATTTTAAATCTAAATAAATAAATGGACATATATTGCATTGCATAGCACATCATTCTATAAAGGCCATTTACATGAACTACTTGACTTGATTTAATAAAAAGAAAATACAAAGAATATCATATGTAACTAAAGCTAGTTTTTAAACATTTACACTGTCGTTTCACTTCTTCTCAGAGATACAAAGGCAACTTGCTTTTTACATCATTATAATATTCATTCTCAGATGTTTCATCTTCCTTATTACTTATTCAAGATGTCGACAGATTGTTTCAAATCTATTTCATCAATAGGTGTGAAACTGTAATGATAAAACTGTAAAAGTTCCAGTTAAAGGTACTCCTAAAGTCTGATATGGAAATGGTCCACTGCAAGGATTAAACTTAAAAGATACTGAGGATGATGGCATGGGTAAAAAATTTGGAATCTCCTATAATGGTATTAGTACTAGAAATATTATTGCTGGCACAAACAACTTTAATTTGCCTTAAAACATATTTATCAAAATATAATTAAAATGTATTTAAAACTTAAACTTGTTTAATTGTGATCATATGACAATAAAGCTATAATTCAAAAAGAAGCCAGCATCATTAGCTTGTTAATCCATAAAATAGCAGCTTCAAAAACTTGCTAACAGAAGCTGAATGCGCGTTCTATAATTGATAAAAATTAGATATTTCAAATCTATTTATTGCTATGTATTATATAGATCATCATAAGTTGTATAAAAACTTCTGTTGTAAGTTTCAAACAGTTGATAAAAAATTATATAAAGTAATCTACAAGAAATACTTTTGATAAAAAGTCAATATAAAGAAAATCATACATAGCTAAAGCTAAGTTTCAACTATTGACACGGACATTTCATTTCTTCCCAAAGGTACAAAGGCAATTTGCTTTCTATATCATTATGTTCATGCTCAGATATTTCATCTTCGTTAATTGTGCTTCATAGGTTAGTTCCAGTTAAAGGTACTCCTATAGTATGCGTTGGAGGCGATCCATCGTAAGTTCTTAACACAGAAAATGCACAGCATTATCCATTGCAGACACAAAAAATCTGGATAGACACATCGTTCTGGATTCTTGGAAATTCCTATAATGGAAATATTTTAGTTGTAATAAAGAATAATGATATGTTACATTACTAGCAAAATCAATTACATAATAAACTATATGATAAAAATTCTTATTTTTGGCAGTAAAGTTCATATAAATTACTTTATTATTATAAAAAATTATATTAATTCAGATCATTCACTATCAAATTAATTAAATTCTTGTAATTACACTGTTTTAAATATTAAATATTCAAAGAATAAATTTATTTTTATAATGTTAATTGAGTAAAATATTAAATATTTTACATTTGCCTTTTGTTTATTGTATATATGTATTTAAAACCTTGAAGTTTTCTTATCTTATAATTCTTCATTCTCATTTTGTAGTACATGCACAAAATTATAGTTACCTATATTTATATTATTAAAGACATCATCATTTGGAAATCAGCGTAAATGCATACTTCTACTAATATATGTACCAGACTTGTCTCGTTATCTCTGAAGTACAGGGACAATCCTGTTACCATCCCGAACAATTATTTTTCTCCGAAGTATGTATAACTTGCAACAGTAAAAGAATCCATAACACTATAAAATAGAAATTCAGTTAAATTATTGTTAATAATTAAATACTTGTTTGTGAAACATACATATTATATGCACTATATAAAGTTCTTATTATTTTTAAACTCAATTCATTCTAAAAGCATTGTAATAGTAGAAACTAAACTGATGTTTAATATACTGGCATTACTAGTTTGATTTACCATGTCATTCTATTCTATTTACACATTTTCTTGGAATTTCCTATAATAGAAATATTTGAGTTGTAATAATGAATAATGAAATGTTATATTACTAGCAAAATTAATTAAATAATTAACTATATCATATGAAAAAGTATCATCATACGAAAGTATGAGTCAAAACATTCTTATTTTTAGCAGTAAAGTTCCTATGAATTACTTTATTGTTATAAAAAATTATATTAATTCAGATCATTCAGTATTAAATTACTTAAATGCTTGTAATTATACTATTTTAAATATTAAATATTTAAAGAATAAATTTATTTTTGTAATGTGTTAATTGAGTAAAATATTAAATATTTTACAATTGCTTTTTGTTTATGAAGTTACATATATATTCCTTTCTTAGTTTTGTGATTTATCTATTGTATTTGTAGATATCATGAGGTAAAATATATGGTTACTATCTGGTCTTTCATCTGCATGTGATGAAAAATGTTAACGTCTCCACAAGATTGTATAAATGTATTTAGAAGCTTGAAGTTTTCTTATCTTATAATATAATTCTTCATTCTCATTTTGTAGTACATGCACAAAATTATAGTTACCTATATTTATATTTTTAAAGACATCATCATTTGGAAATCAGCATAAATGCATACTTCTATTAATATTTGTATCAGACTTGTCCCGTTATCTCTGAAGTACAGGAACAATCCTGTTACCATCCCGAACAATCATTATTCTCCAAAGTATGTATACTTGCAACAGTGCAAGAATCCATAACACTATAAAATAGAAATTCAGTGAAATTATTGTTATTAATTAAATACTTATTTGTGAAACGTACATATTATATGCACTATATAAAGTTCTTATTATTTTTAAACTCAATTCATTCAAAAAGCATTGTGATAGTAGAAACTAGTATGTATATTATTCGAAGCACATCAATAATTATCAATTCATTGACAATTAATTAAAACTCAGTAATGCTTTTGCTTCAAAGTACTTTTGATAGAACAAAGAATTCATTTTTCATTATAAAAAGAATTGTAAGTATAAATCTGATTCAATAAAGAATTTATCTATAGAATGACTTACAGTGAATTCACTCATTGCATTTGATTCAATTACATTCACATGAAATTCTAATAGGTTTATGTAGTATTTTCTTAGATTATTGTGAGTAAAATGTACTTTTGTACAGAATTGTGTTTCTTAAATAAAATATAAGCATTTCATTTTTTTGGCTCAATTCATTAAAAAATATTTGGCGTTTTATGTAACTACAACTGAAGTTTAATATACTGGCTTTACTACTTTGATTTATCATTTTATTCTATACTATTATCACATGAATTGGCAAATTCATTGGAATTGTAGTTCGATATTTAAGTTTTCATATGAATAAAATAAAATTTTCTAAAACTATTATATATAATAGTATATAACATGCTGCAAAACTTACTCGATCTTCTATTCATCATCTGTGTATTTCTGTTTAATGTATATTTCTGAGAAGACAGTTAAATACAACAAATGGTATGCCTCTACATAATTCATCAATAATATTTTTAATTTTTTTTCTTGTTTCCTTACAAGTTATAAGCACCTGTGAAAAGATTATAGATTTATTACAAGAATCACTAGATAGTGATAATTTTTACTAGATAACTACATGTAACAATGTAACAATTTAATAATTAACAAAGAAATAAGTTTTAATAATAATCATAAACATAGGAATTTATATAAAAAATATAATATATAATAGCCACATGACACTTCATTTGAAATATAATAATCATAATGATAATCAATTTTTACTTACATTAAGGTTATTTGAATTCGTAATAGTCACACCATACATTGTGCACGAAAAATATTGCACTTTCATATATATATTCTGACGTTTCTGCTCTCCTAATACTTCGAAGCGATTACAGGAGCATTTTCGTAAGAAGTAACGAGAATTGTCCGCCATTTATATATTTGGAGCTGTCAAAACGAGGCAACCAATCAGAAAGCAGGACTACATTTAACAAGAAACCAGGACCGCATTTTGAACATATTTATATGTAGTCGGAAAAACACATTATTATAAAAATTGCACTAATTATAATATTACTAATAAATGTAATTTCACTTTAAAATATACTATGTGTCTAATTTATAAAAGTTAATAACAAAATAAATTTTGTTTTTATTATTTAACTAATTATAAAGAAACGGCTCAGCCGATCTTTACCAAAAACTGAGAACTATGATTCCCCAAAAATATCTTTCAAATAGTTCATTAATTTTTAAATTCGATTTAAGGATTTTATAAAAAACGTGGGCAAAATTTTTGCACATTTACACTAATTTTAAAGAAACGGCTTGACCGATCGTCGCAAAAAATTAATCGGGTAGAGTGCTCATGAAGCCACATCCGATGCTTTTTAAATTTTCAAAATCGGTACAGCCGTTCTTCTGGAAACGTTGATAAAAAGTTGAAAATTGTAGTACGTACACACAAATAACTAAATTTTGCAATTATCAGCTACATTATGCACATTTACTTCTTTTTTCAATGCTTATACAATAATATTAATGTTAAAGAACCATTCCCAACACAAAAACTTATCAAAATATCCCAAAACAATAAATTGCATTTTTAATTTTAAAAATAATTACCCCTAACATTTCAGCAGACGGCCCTGTAAAAAATGAGCGAAATTTGATAGAAAAATGTGCCTGCTACCCTGTTAGATCGGCAGAAAAATTCGTATGAAAATGTATGAATTGTATGAAGAGTACGCGGTTCTATAGGTCGCGCGAATAGTACTATACTATCATATATATATTCTGAGCGCGTCTGTTCTCCTGATACTTCGAAACGATTACAGACGCAGCGTACTATGAAGATTTTCGATCTTTCGATGTCGGCTCTTCCTATCATTGCGAAAGGATAGAATTTTTGAATAAATTAATTTAAAAACCTAGCTGTAAGTGGAATTCTGTCTTAAGGTAATTAAGGCATCGTGCCTTAAGGCATATTGCTGGAACTTCCCGTACCAAAAATTATTAATTTTTTAAAAACGATTAACATTTTTGAAAAAAATGTACTTTGAAAAAATAAGATTTTTGAGAAATTATATATATGGACAAAAAATTACTTTTTTTGAAAAAAATTTTTTTTTTTTTAATTTTTTTTTTTGAAAAAAAAATTTAATTTTTTTTTTGAAAAAAAAATATTTTTTTCTTTTTTGACATATTGTGGAAGATCTGAACTTTTTTTTCAAAGCAATCGTACTGATTTAACTGCATATGGAAAAAATTAAAGCGCGTAAGCGCCGCGTCGCTGTCTAACGCATAAGCATTGGTACGGAACCCATAGGAATGTTAACAAAATGTATACTTATTATTAAAATCTCTATAAAATATCTGATAATTGATGTGCATATGTCTAATGATTATTTTTGACCGCCAAATGGCTAATTTTTTTACTTTTTCCTCCATATCTCCGAAACCGCTAGACCTACCTTTATGAAAATTTTATCGATTTTTCATCTTGTCAATACAAGTAAAATGTTTTTGAATTATTTAAATCGGACGCTCCGTTCTCTTAAAAAATGAGTTACCGTTTTAGGCACTTTTTGCCCCGTATCTCGGAACGGCTAGAACCTGCCTTCGCCAAAAACTAATCAGCACGTCTCCTTTCAATACGAATCGAATGTTTTTTGAATTATTCAAATCGGTTGATCCGTGTTCCCGAAATCGTCGACGAAAATTGTATCCGCACATACAAACACACGTACATACATACACACACACATACACACACACATACACACACCAATACAACACACACAACATACATCCATTTTTCTAAGGTATGCCAAATGTTCAGAAACCTTTGAAACGTAAAGATATATAAAAATTTTCATTTTCGATTTTTTTGCGATTACTATAACTTGCCCTACGGGAAGTTAATAAATTAATTTAAAAAAATATTATTAATAAATGATTTTTGAATAAATTAATGAGTATCATATAAAATAAAATAGATATATCTTTACGTAAATGGATTTTTATGTATTATTATAATTAAGTAAATAACAGTAATTATAGGGCTAATAATTATTGATTGGCAAATTATTTATGCTTATTTATTATTGTTTGGCAAAAGCGACCTGAAAAATTCAATAAATTACACATCCATGTTTAAAAAAAATACAAATTAAATTACTTAAATTACTTAAATATACCAATGGTATATTTATAATATAAATAACTACCAGCACACCCATGTTTTAAAAAAAGAATCAAATTAATTTACTTAAATATTTATTTATATAATTCTAAAATATTACAAATATACTCATATGTATAATTAGCAATATCACAATGTTTAAAATATATTTCTTAATGATAATAATATAATAATTCAATATATGATACACAGTAATTATATACATTTATATATCTAATTTCATTCTTACTGTACGGAGTTTTTAAGTTTAATAATATACAATTCAATATCTAAATTTATATATCCAATTATATAATTATACAAATTAAAGCAGCTAGTCCATCTTTAATGATGGAAAAAACAATATGTAAATCCGTGGATAGGAAAATGGATATATAAATGTCTATATTGATATTCCTTCAAAATCGGGACCATAATTATATATTTTATGGCGTATAAAGCGATATATAAATGTATATATTGATATTCCTTGAAAATCTGGACCATAATTATATATCTAATAGCGTATAAAGCGATATATAAATGTATATATTGTTATTTCTCCTAAGCCAGGACCATCATTATATATAAAAGCGTATAAAGGAATCCAGTAAGATTTCTAGATTCATCGAGGCGATTGCATGCAGCGCCTCTATGCAAAATCGTTCCCAGTTCGTGAGGAACTAACGTCAAACGTTTGACAGTTCTTGCGTAAAAAGGAATCCAATAAGATTCCTATGTTCAATTTTTGTGCTCTATGTTCAATTTTTGTTGTAAATATTTTTAAAATATGTCAACAGTCTGTGTTGCCTGGATCTTGGTTGAACAAGTTTCTTTATAATAATAATAAATGTACAAGTCATAAATTTAAATAGATTTAAAGTTGAAGTGTGTTTATTGTGAAAATATGATTTAGGTAAGTACAAAATAATGTTTTATATTTTAATTTTAAGGCAAAGTGGTTCATGTTTATGTATTTCTAAATATTTTGGCAAACTGTTGGGCATAATTCTAAACAAATATTTGTTTCAACACATTATGATATTCATTCAAGTCTAAAACAATGAGATTAATACATGAATTTGTTTCTTTAAACGTCAAAAGTGAATTAGATTGTCAAACGTCAAAATTGACAGTTGTTTTCGGTTGAAAATGTCTGTTGTGACAGGTTTATTCTACAAATGTGTTAATTATTAAATATTTTATTTGAGAATAAAACCACAAAAACTTTGTAAAAAAATCCGTGGATAGATATCTTTAAATTAATCAAGTAGAACAGGTCGCATTTAGTTCATTTTTTCTTACTTTTTCAAAACTGCTCAAAGTCAGAAATATTTCAAAAGAGGAAAATACTTGTTTTCATTATTCAAACAAAAGGTGTGTTTTTTATACAAGGAAATACATTTTTGAATGTTTTCTTTGAAAACAAATATTTGTGTATTAATTGTCGTGTTAATAATATTTATTAAAAGTGCAGTTGTTATCAATATTTCAATATTTACATCATAAAAGGGTCCAAATTCTTAAATACTCTTTGTAAATATATATTTTTTTTTGAAACATAAGTGCCATTTTCAATTAAATTAATTAATTAATTTAATTGATAAAATAAAAATTATTTGTTTAAAAAAATTGGCACAAAATTAAATTACCAACATTTTTTTTAATACTGGAATACTTTAAAATATCATTCAAAAGTAGAATAATGATTTTAGCGACCTAACAGTATAATTATGCCGTTTAAGATTTATGAATCATTAACCATATTGAATTCATGGACTTTATCAAACAAATTTTATTCAATTGCATTCAATATGCGAGTTTGGGACATTTTTTTACATTTTGTCAAATGTTTTGGAAATTTTATTATGGACACTTTTATATGTTTATTTTAGTATAAACTAGATAAAATTTTCTAGAATTCAATGTATATTGTTATATTCACTTTTATATTAAAATTTTGAATAATTTGTAGTTGAAGCGCAGATTTGAGTTTGATAATTGGCTATAGGTGGATTTTGGATGTTTTTTTACATTTTGTGAAATAACTTTAAAACTATGTTCAGAACATGTTTATTTGTTTATACTAGTATAAACTAGATGAAATTTACTAACAAATAGTATAAATTGTGTTATATACTTGCATATCAAAATTTTGAACAATTTTCAGTTGAAACACAAATTTAAACGTAATATATAGATTTGGGACTTTTTTTTACTTTTCTTCAAATAACTTTTAATTTTCTTTTCGGGCATGTTAATTTGTTTACATTAGTAAAAACTATATCAAATTTACTAGAATTTAGTACAAACTAGTACATATAGTTGGATACTAAAATTTCGTATAATTTTTAACTGGAACGCGAATTTGTGTCTGTGTACATTTTATCAAACAACTTGAAAAATTTGTTCTGGGCATTTTAATTTATTTATATTAGTGAAATATAGATAAAATTGAGATTTATAAATCATAAACCTATGCTTTGTTATAACTACAGTAATGATATCAAATTATTCGATTATAATAAATGATTTATTTGAAGTTGAATCCATGAATACTATCCATGGATTGTTTTAAGAGCTTTTTTTTTAAACTCGATTAACATAAAATATGTACTTACCTACAAATTATTCGAATGTTTTTATTTTT